AAAAAAGTATTCAGACAACTTTATTATAAGCAAATATCAGGAAGATGCAAATTACTTAAAACATGATAGTTACCTGTGAAGTAAGACTTTTTGCATATTAAATGTGCTGCTGAGCACAATTTAAAGCTTTTAAAAAGTTTTAAAATATCAAACTCTTTTTCCCTTTTTGCTTGTATCAGTCATTAACCCTGTAGCCTAATTCAGACAGATCCTGGAAAACCCATTTGTGTGCTTGTCATTTGCTATCAGGAAACTCTTGAACAGACCTTACTTCTCTGTAGGTAAAAAAGGGTGGGCTAAGTAAAACTTATCTAGAAAGTAGCTGGCTGGGGTGCAATTGTACTTCCTTTTTCCAGCAAGCAGAAAGTGCTTCTTGCATCAACATCTCTTACCATTGTTTATGTTCTTGAAAGCTGATGTTAATACAAGACACTAATTTCTGTGGATTGAATTTGGTTTGTTGATTTAATAGTCTGTGGACCACAAAAGATAATTAAGTAAAGCCAGCTCTTTTTCAGCAGGCTTGAATTTGCTGTATAAACTCGTACCTTCCACAGAAGATTAAAAAGATACATTGGAAGCCACTATTCTAAGTTCCTGCTTTCAAGAAACCTAAGTGGGAGTTAAAGATTCGACAAATATAATTATGGAAGTATTTTCATCTATTGGTTTCTTTTTGGTAGAAGTAGGTAATACAAATTAGGGGGAGGGGGAAAGGAAAAAGTGTGTTTGTATAGAGAGTTATATTGGGTTTATGTGGTGAGGTTTTGGTAGTGAGGAGACTGTAGGGGCAGCCTCCATCAGAAGGGACCAGGGGCTGCTGCTGTGCTGGACAAAGCCAGTTCCAACTGGCTCCAAAATAGGTCTGCCACTGGCCAAACATGAGCCAATCAGTGAAGCTGGGTAACCTCTGTGGTAACATTTAAGAAAGGGTGACATGCTGTGCAGCAGAGTGTGTCTGTGAGAGAGGGAGGAATGAGGGGCAAAATGCAAGAAAAACAGCTTTGCAGACACCTAGGTCAGTGAAGGAGGGGTAGGAGATATTCTAGGTGTTGGAGCAGAGGTTTCCCTACTGCCTGTGGAGAAGACCACTCCAAAGCAGATATCCACCCTGCAGCTCGCAGAGGCTCCACGCCAGAGCAGGTGGATGTGCCCTGAAGGAAGCTGCACCCTCTAGAGAGCATACCTTTGGAGAGGAGGAGGTTTTCTGTCCGGAATTGCAGCCCCTAGGGGACGCACACTGGAGCAGTACATTCCTGAAGGACTGTACCCCATGCAGAGGACCTATGCTGGAGCAGTTTGTGAAGGACTATCCTGTGGGAGAGATTCTATGTTGGAGCACAGAAAAAGTGTGAGGAGGGAGTGGCAGATGAGTTCTTAAGAAATGACTGCAACCTCCCATTCCACAGGAGGGTTGGGACTAGAAGATCTCTAAGGTCCCTTCCAACCAAAACCATTCTATGATTTTTCTCCCTGCCCCTGAAGTGGGGGGAGGAGGTATAAAGTTGGAAATGAAGGAGTGAAAGTAAGCCTGGGAAGAAGGGGATTGGGGGAAGGAAGGTGTTTCAGTTTTGTCATTGTGTCTCACCATTCTACTTTATTTTTAATTGGCAAGAAATGGATTTGAGTTCTCAGTCTAAGTCAGGAAAAGGGAATCAAGTTCATGCTTCAGAATAGATGAGGATGGGAAATAACACTTCTTGGTAGCCTGAACTTAATACTCTTTCTTCATAGAATCATAGAATCAGATGGATTGGAAAGGACCTCTGAGATCAAGTCCAACCCTTGATCCACTACCACCACAGTTACTAGACTATGGCACTAAGTGCCACATCCAGTCTCATCTTTAAAACCTTCAGGGACGGAGAATCCACCACCTTTCTGGGCAGGTCATTCCAATGCCTAATTACTCTGTAAAGAATTTCTTCTTAATATCTAACCTAAACCTCCCCTGGCAGAGCTTGAGACCATGCCCTCTTGTCTTGCTGATAGCTGTCTGGGAAAAGAGACCAACCCCCACCTGGCTACAACCTCCTCCCAGGTAGTTGTAGAGAGTGATGAGGTCTCCCCTGAGCCTTCTCTTCTCCAGGCTAGACAACCCCAGCTCCCTCAGCCTCTCCTCACAGGACTTGTGTTCAAGTCCCTTCACCAGCCTTGTTGCTCTTCTCTGGACCCGCTCCAGCACCACAATGTCCTTCCTGAACTGAGGGACCCAGAACTGGACACAGTACTCCAGGTGCGGCCTCGCCAGCGCTGAGTACAGGGGAAGAATCACTGCCCTCGTCCTGCTGGCCACATTGTTCCTGATCCAGGCCAGGATGCCATTTGCCTTGCCCACCTGGGCACACTGCTGGCTCATGTTCAGCTTCCTATTGATCCAAACTCCAAGGTCCCTTTCTGCCTGGCTGCTCTCCAGCTACTCTGTGCCCAGCCTGTAGCGCTGCAGGGGGTTGTTGTGGCCAAAGTGCAGGACCCGGCACTTGGCCTTGTTGAACCTCATCCTGTTGGAATCAGCCCAACTCTCCAGTCTGTCCAGGTCCCTCTGCAGAGCCCTCCTGCCTTCCAACTGATCGACAGTCCCCCCCCAGCTTGGTGTCATCTGCAAGTTTGCTAATGGTGGACTCAATCCCCTCATCTAAATCGTCGATAAAGATATTAAACAGAACTGGGCCTAAGACTGATCCCTGGGGGACACCACTAGTGACTGGCCGTCAACTGGATGCAGCCCCGTTCCCCATCACTCTCTGGGCCCGGCCCTCCAGCCAGTTCCTGACCCAGCACAGAGTGCCCCTGTCCAAGCCATGGGCTGCCAGCTTTTCCAGGAGTATATTATGGGAGACAGTGTCAAAGGCTTTGCTGAAGTCCAGATAGACCACATCCACAGCCTTTCCCTCATCCACCAGGCGGGTCCCCTGATCATAAAAGGAGATCAGGTTGGTCAGACCGGACCTGCCCTGACAGAGTTTGAAGGAAAGGACCCTCTCCGCGTGCCGTCTGTTAAGACGGAGCTGCAGTGATGCAATCCTTAGTGCTGGCCAAAGACACAAACACCAGACTGTTCGGAAGCAAAGAGGGTTTATTCAAATTTCCCACGGCTTATAAGGCTGCTGAAAGGAAGGGGGGGGGGGCTCGGCTACTTGGCTAGCCAATGAGAGGGACCGAGAGGTTAACACCCAGTAAGAACCCAGGAACCGGGGAGAGGCAGGGGAGACAACCAATGGAGTTAGGATAGGGGCGTAGCCTGGCTCTGTGGGCAGGACAAGAATGGCGCTGTACATAGCTGCCACGTGGGGATGTGGGGGGAGAGAGGTAATTGTACAGAGAATAGGGTGGCCCGTAACAATAAATTCGCAATATGGAGTTTTCTGTGCTGGCTTTGGGAGTTTTCTGTGCTGTGTCTGTTTCTCTTCTATGACTGTTGTTTCCAGTGTATATATTCCACGTTGTTTTCCACACTGCCCTTCCTAAACCTTTGCTGGCTGGCTCTGATCCCTTGTCCATCCTGTAGGTGCTGTGTGATTGCACTCAGGATGATCTGCTCTGTAACCTTGCCAGGCACTGAGGTCAGGCTGACAGGCCTGTAGTTTCCCGGGTCCTCCTTGTAGCCCTTTTTGTGGATTGGCGTGACATTCCCCAACTTCCAATCATCTGGGACCTCCTCAGTGAGCCAAGACTGTTGGTAAGTGATGGAGAGTGGCTTGATGAGCTCTTCTGCCAGCTCCCCCATCACCCTTGGGTGGATCCCATCTGGTCCCATAGACTTGTGAGGATCCAAGTGGCTCAGCAGGTTGCTAACTGTTTCCTCCTTGATAACAGGGGGGCTATTCAGCTTCTTATCTCTGTCTACAAGCTCCAGAAGCCAGCTGTCCTCAGGACAGTCTTACTGTTGAAGACTGAGGTAAAGAAAGTGTTAAATACCTCAGCCTTGTCCTCATCTTTGATAACTCTGTTCCCACCCATGTCCAATAAAGAATGGAGGTTTTCCTTGTCCCTCCTTTTGCTATTGATGTATCTATAGAAAGACTTTTTGTTATCCCTAACAGAAGTGGCAAGATCAAGTTTTGCCCTCATCTCTCTGATTTTCTTTTGGCAAGACCTAACTATATTCCTAAACTCTTCCTGAGCAGCCAGCCCTTTTTCCCATAACCGGTAGGCTCTCTTTTTTACCCTAATTTCCTTTAAAATCTCCCTGTTCAGCCAGACCGGTCGTCTTCCCTGTCAGGTTGCCTTTTGGCAGACTGGGACAGCCTGCTCCCGTGTGGTCAGGGCTTCCTTCTTGAAGCATGTCCATCCCTCCTGGACCCCTTTGTTTTCAAGGGTAGTTTCCCAGAGTACCCTCTGAACTAGTCTTCTGAAAAGGCCGAAATCTGCCCTCCAGATTCCTTTGCTTTATATTAGTGGTGATTAATAAGATGAATGTCTCTAACACATCTAAACACTTGTTTTTAATTATTGCCAGTGATGTTTTTCTTTAAGTCTGTCTCTCCTGTCATCTCCCCAAAGCATACTCTAATTTTATTCCATAGATATTTGTCGCAAATGAGTGTTTTAGGTCACTCAAAGAATCACCAGCAAAGGTATTATCAAAAGCAGGTTTAATATAAAAGTGAAAGCATGACAAAATTCATTGACAAGGTTCACTCTACTATTTACTAGATGGTTAAAGCACACAGAAAAAATGGACTAAAATCTAAAATCAATCTAAAGCTAAAATGGACAAAAAAATCATCAACATAGAGACTGGGGATGGAAAAGGGTAAGGATAAAAAGGAATAAGGAAGACTCTCCTGTTGAGTCACAATGTTCAGAGTGGACCCCCCTTGCCAAACTGAGTCCCAGACTTGACAAACAGTTTAGGCCTAAAGGTTTTAACAGTACTTAACAGCACTTAATAGCCTAATTTTAACAAATCAACAAGAGATTCTATAGAACTTACTATAAACACAACAGTAACTCACTTATAGGCCTAACTTACAAATCTAAAGTACTTAAGAATCTAGGACAGCAACATTCCTAGTACATTTGCTATTGCACATTCACACTTGTAAGCATACATACCTAAAGGAGTCTGTACAAGGTATATATCTGTGAAAAATTCCCCTCGAATTCAGTGAAGTGCTCATATTGGATGCCTTTGCATCTTCTCAGTGGGCAAAGGGTTGAGCCTCGAGGAGTGGGGGATATCAGCCCAGGATCCATCATTGTTCGGTAATCCTCAGTGTATAGCAAATGCGAGAGTTTGCTTTCTCTGAGAGGTGTCCCCACTCAGAGGGAGGTTGCTGGTCACAGCCTGCTGCAGTCCAGGAGAGCTCAAAGGATCTCACTTAGGACCACTGTTTATAGGGTCACAAGAGAGTTGGCTTTAGTCATAGTAATTTTTCATCCTGGCCCCAATTTGGGTCAGTAACTTTCTTTGAAAGTTCAATAATAAAAATGTTATTCCACTTGGGTTGTTATTCAGGCAAGAAAAATAAGTTTCTAAGGCTGTTAAAAAAACAGGAGCTTTTTAGCCAGCATTAGTTCCTGGGAACAGACTTTCTAATAAGCTCAAGAGGAGCTCAGCCCAGGTGCTGTTCATCAAGGCCAAGGCCTAACCGAGCATTTGAGATCATAGTGCAACTGGAGGAGGGAGGGGAAGCACTACCACAATTGGGGTTTGAAAAATTAACAGGTGCAAACATGTAACAATTATCTCTTGGTCCTCTCAGTAAGCTGTCTTGCTTTTCTTGCATAAGATTGAAAAGAAATATTGTTTTTGTGTATCTCTCTTAAATTGCTCTTGAATATATTGAGAATATCCAGAGACAGTATCAAACTTTCATACCAAATCAGATTTCACATCTGCTGCTGTACAATTGCAACTATTTGACTCAAGGGCTAGGGGTGTGAGAAGTTTGTTTACTACATATCCTGGAAGATGTTCTCTGTGGACTTTACATTGGTTTGCCAACATACATGAAATGATAATTTTTCATGTAGAAATCCTATCCTGAGAGTATGCTATTCACTCTTAGCCTATATTCCTTCATGCCTACTACAGCAGGTTAGCACTGTCACTTGGCATCACTGCAGTGATTTGTTTGCATAGTAGAGTAGTCTCACTTCAGTAGGATGGAAGAGGCCATTTTTGCTTTATGCATTACTTTTGCTTCTTTTTTTTCATGCTCCTGTGATGCTCCTGTAACTATTTTGTACACTCTCATGCATTCCTGTCTTTTCTGTGTTGTTGGGTTTGGTTGTTTTGTTTGTGTTTTTTTTTCCAATTGAACAAAGTACAATGTATGTAACATATAGTTTCTTATTCAAGAATATATTTTATCAAATAATGCTGTTTTAATTTTACTGGATTTTATATATATAATATAGAAACAATATAAAAATTGAAGCACAGAGAGGAAGGCTTATATGACATATTTTTTAAAGAGGGACATAGAAATGCAGGAATTCTGTTTTGGCTAACAGAATTAAGTACCTAAAAGAGCAGAAATTCTCTTCAACAGCAAATACTGAATATTCCCTTTCTTTATACATCATATTAACAGCATTGTCTTGGTTTTGACCCTGGATGGATTTTAAACACTTATTGAAAACCGTTTTTCCCCTCTCCTGCCCCTTTGACTTTCTCTGAGCTGAGGGAAAAAAAAAAAAAACAGTCAGAGAATTCCTAAGTAGAGATAGGGACTGGGAGATTCACTTATTAACTAATTTTCATAGGCAAACAGACTCAAAGAGAATAGAACTTAAATTTATTGCTAACAAACTTAAACTAAAAGCTAATTTATCGCTAATAGAATAAGAGCTAAAAGAGTAAAATAATAAAACAGTTTTAAAACACAACACCTTCCTTCCACTCCCCCCTTCCCTCAGATGCACAGGGAGATGAAAAAAAGGGGGAAAGGCACAGCCAGTGGCTGCTTCTGCCGCTGTTAAAATCCATCTCTCAGATAGGAACTCTTTCCAGTTCACTGTCCTGGGGGGGTCACTCTTCCAGCAGGTGCAGAGGTGTCTCTCTCTACACTCTGACAGTCTTCTCTATGGGCTACAAGGGGACATCTTGCTTTACCATAGTCCTCACCACGGTAACAGGGGAGGGTAATGGCTTTGAGTCCTCCCCTGATTCTTGTGAGGTCCCTCCCCATGGGAGACAGTCTCTGATAGACCTCTCTGGTGTGGGTCCATCCCTCAGGCCACAGTTCTTCCATAATCTGCTGTCCCTTGGGGCACGAATGAGTTGCACTGGCGTGGATTTCCCCACAGGGCCACAAGTCCTACCTGGGACAACTTGCTCTAGCATAGGTTTCTCTCTCCATAGGCCACAGGTCTCCAGCAAGACTGTTTCATCTTAGGTCTCCCACGGAGTCACAGCCACCTCATGCACTCCTCTACTCCAGCATGGACTCCTTCATGAGCTGCAGGGGGGTCTCTGCACCCCAATAATCTTCCACAGGCAGCAGGGGTCTCAGCTTTCAGTCTTTCCCCTGCTGGAGGGGGGAGAGGGAGGCCTCCCCAGGCCTCTTCCTCCCCCCTCCTGCTACATTGACCTTGGAGTCTACATTGCTATCTCATATTCTCCTCTGCTCTCCTTCAAGCTGGAGTTTCTTCTGGGACACAAACCTTTTCTTCCTATGTTCTTAAATATGTTATCACAAAAGCGAATATTATTGGCTAGTAGTAGGAAGTCCATCCTAGAGCTGGCTATCATTGGCTTTTTCATAGAATAGCAAAAGCTTCTAGTAGCTTCTAATTGAAATCATCTCTATGGCCCCCTATTACCAAAAATTCAGTCACTTGAACCCATGACAAGCATCTTTATTCTGTAGCTTAATTTGCCTTGCTCTGTTTTAGATCTAGAGTTCTTCCAATTTTAGTCTTGATAGTGTTTATCATTTCTGTTGATATTTGGTGTCTTGGAATCACATTGATCAATGAATCATGGAATCATAGAATTAACTGGGTTGGAAGAGACCTCCGAGATCATCAAGTCCAACCCTTGATCCAACCCCACTGTGATTACTAGATCATGGCACTCACTGCCACATCCAGCCTCATCTTAAAAACCTCCAGGGATGGTGAATCCACCACCTCTCTGGGTAGGCCATTCCAATGCCTGATCACTCTCTGTAAAGAACTTCTTTCTAATATCCAACCTAAACCTCCCCTGACAGAGTTTAAGCCCATGCCCTCTTGTCCTGCTACTGATTGCCTGGGAGAAGAGACCGACCCCCACCTGGCTATAACCTTCTCTCAGGTAGTTGAAGAGAGTGATGAGGTCACCTCTAAGCCTTCTCTTCTCCAGACTAAACAACCCCAGCTCCCTCAGCCTCTCCTCATAGGACTTGTGCTCAAGTCCCTTCACCAGCCTCGTTGCTCTTCTCTGGACCCGCTCCAGCACCTCAATGTCCTTCCTGAACTGAGGGGCCCAGAGCTGAACACAATACTCAAGGTGTGGCCTCACCAACACAGAGTACAGGGGAAGGATCACTGCCCTGCTCCTGCTGGCCACACTGTTCTTGATGCAGGCCAGGATGCCATTGGCCTTCTTGGCCACCTGGGCCAAGAAGAGGAGGGAAAACAAATTACACCCAGGACAGAGTTGTTTGGGAAAGGACAGCAATGCAAGAGCAAAGGGAGGACGATGTGAAAAGGTGGGATAGGGTAAATTGACAAACACAGGTGAATAGATAAGTGAAAATTAAGTTTTGTACATTGTTTCTTTCTCTCATTATATATAAGGTATGCATGGTTTTTCTTGAGTATATTCAGAAAGGGTGAGGGGAAAAACAGGAAGGTTCTAATTTAGGCTTAGGTGTCTGAAGATTTCCTCCTACCTTCCAGTTTCAAACAGGCTTTTTTGAAAGGGGAGAAAAAGGCTGGTTCTCTCTTGTTGCAGTTATCATCATCTGATGAATCAAGCTGCCTCTTTTGCTATCCTGCAATCTTTTTGCTGCTTTTTGGCTCAATTCTTGAATAAGATACAACACAACAGTGGGGTTTCAACACGGACAACTACAAGCCTTCAGGATAAGTGTGGTGTTCTTTTTCACCTTTTGCTGAACTATTTCAAATAAAAACATCTAAAGAAAAGGCACTGACCCTGGACTGTACAGGAAGAGAAGGGGGCAATAGGTGAAGTACTTTGCTTGTCCTCTTATGTAAGACGACCTCTGAAGAGCAGAGGATCAAAATTGCTGTTCGTGAGATTATACTTATGTAACAACACTGTGTAGCAGGTAATTATGACAGCATTCTATTTGGTTGAAGAAATATTTGAGTTTTAATGTTCCTTGCATCCTAAAGCTAGGGATACAATACTAGAATCTCAGTAATTAGTAGTTCCAGTTCAAGAGATTAATCTTGTAGAATTCAGTGGTGCTATTTTGTGTTAATAGGCATTGTGAGAAGTTAGACAAATTATGGACCTGTTGTGGTTTAACCCCAGCTGGCAACTAAGCACCACACAGCCACTCACTCGTTCCCCCCCAGTGGGATGGGGGAGAGCATCTGAAGAGAAAAACTGAAATAACTCATAGGTTGCAATAAATACAGTTTAATAGGGAAAGCAAAAGTCATGCGCACAAACAAAGCAAACCAAGGAATTCATTCACCACTTCCCATGGGCAGGCAGGTGTTTGGCCATCTCCAGGAAAGCAGGGCTTCATCATGCATAATGGTGACTTGGGAAGGCAAAATGCCATCACTCTGAACATCCCCTCCTTCCTCCTTCTTCCCTGCAGTTTTTATTGCTGATCATGGTGTTATATGGTATGGAATATCCCTTTGGTCAGTTGGGGTCAGCTGTCCTGGCTGTGTCTCCTTCAACTTCTTGTACACCTCCAGCCTACTCATTGGTGGGGTGGTGTGAGAAGCAGAAAAGGCCTTGATTGTGTAAGCACTGCTCAGCAGTAGGGAAAACATCCCTCTGTTATCAACATTGTTTTCAGCACAAATCCAAACCACAGGCTACTCTGAAGAAAAATAACTCTATTGCAGCCAAAACCAGCACATTCTCC